CTCCCTCTGACCCTCTTCCCTCTCGTGCTCTCTATCTCTCATTCTCTCTCTCAAATAAATAAATAAAATCTTAAAAAAAAATAAAAAAAAATTGACGCATTATGGTATGTGATTCTTAATAGAAGATGTACTGGAATCGGCTGGGGGAGTATTTCTAACATACCCTCCACCATTCTGCTGAGGCAGATCCATGGGAATGAGGGATGGGTAGCTTTAAACACTTCCTCAGATGACTCTAAGTAAGATTCTCAATTGAGAAATTTTAAAAGGGAAAATAAAAATGAATTAGAGACACAGCCCCTTTTGTCAATTCCTACTAAAATATAGTGATTGCCTCACCCAATAACCACATTTCATTTTCATGATCTCTTCGACCTGGTTGCTCATAGTTAATCAATTACTTATTTTTAATCGCTGTTGATTTTCCTCTCCTAAATATTTAGAATTTGTCTACCTGTTTACCTTCAATATTGCCACCATAGTTCAGGCAATTATCGTCTTTCTCATAGACAACTCTAATAACCAGTTTCCCTACATCAGCATATGCCCTCTGTGCACCCCACCCCCAGAGAGAAAGTTTAGACTTGGAAATCTGGTCAAGCCACTACCCTACTTAAAACTTCTCAATGGGTTCATGTTCCTAGACTGAAGATCAGAATCACTCACATGACCTCTGAGATCCTGCATGAACCTGGCCTCTGCTTACCTTACCCGTGGTCTCTTAAGCTCTTCTAATTGCAGTAGTATTCTTTCAGTTCCTTGCACTTGCCAAGTTCCCTGTGCCTTGCATGGCCTTTGTATATGCTGTTTGTTCTGCCGGCATGCTCCTCTCTCCCTTTCAGAGCTCAGTTCAAACATCCAATGCTCAGGGTAATCTTCTCTGAAAGACTACCCATCATCCCACGCTCATCTCCTATTATAAGCTTTATTAATTATAACAATGGCTACATTATTTACTGAATGCTTGTTATGTGCTAGGCATTGTTTTCTTATATTAATTTATCCTTACTATAATCCTGTAGGTAGGTGTTTCATGAATATTTTTAACTACGTGCATGAACACATGAATGAATGAATGAGATGAGATTAAAACGCTGAAATTTCACATATATTTTAGGAAAAATCTGCCTACTTTGAAGGATTTTATGATAGCGATTTGCATATACTGAGATCACACTCAAAAATAAGAAAATGTCAAGAATTTGAGGGAAGTGTTACTTAGGAAAGATATGAATTCTCAAAGCTTTGATAGCTCTCATAAGAAACTGTGTTTAATCAGATAAAGAATACTTGGCTGTAACTGGAATGAAAACATACTCATCGCTACAGTCTATAGATTTCTACGAGCGGAAGTGCTGAGTCAGTAGGTGTAGGCATTTAACTCTTATTAGGCAAAACTGTATTCCTTCCAAAATGGAGAGAAATTTACAATCTCTTCAATAGCATACAACATTTTTAAGATAGATATTAAATCAATTTCCCTTTTAAATCTGTTTTATTTGCTCAATTTTCCTATATAGATCATTCCATGAGGAAAGCATAGTACCTACATTTACAGCCTAAACATTACTCATCCTATGGTACTGTACTGCAAACATGACTTTCATGCTTATCTTAGATAAAGGGGAAATTGTATACATAATTTTAACAAAACAAGAACACAACCAGGAGACTAGAACAAAATCAGTATGGGGAATGCAGGCCTATTTTATAAAATCACTCAGAATATATGTACGTACTATCAAATTCCCACAAAGCCTAATATGTAACTGAAAGAAGGTACACAACATATAACTGTTTTCATATTCACTGACTCCCAAAGGACATCTAAAATTCGGTTCTGTTTTAAAAACTACTGCCTGTTTTTGTGATGAGAATAAAATTAAGCTGCACCACTTCTACTCCATCATACTTTGGTATTGAAATCCTAGGTAGATGACAACTGAGAAGGATCAGAAGGATTAACAGGTTGGTAATCATAAACTGCTATGCAAACTAACTAGGGCAATAAATATTTTTATTTAAACTCTAACAGTCGATGTCAAGAAAACTACTTTATTATGCCAATCATTCAAAAGTTTGTCATTCTTTTCCTGTATCAGAAGTTCATAAAACTTTTTTCATACTCTGGCTAACTTTCTGCCTTTAAATGCCCTGACCATGCGTGTATCAGTTTTATTCTGAATCTAAATTACTCCATCTAAATCAGACATCATATATCGGAGTTGTTGCTCAAACAAGAGTAATTTTTTCTTTAAGACTTTTTTTATTTATTTGTCAGAGAGACAAAGAACACAAGCAGGGGGAGCGGCAGAGGGAGAAGCAGGCTCCCCGCTGAGCAAGGAGTCCAACGTGGAGCTCGATCTCAGGACCCCAGGATCATGACATGAGCTGAAGGCAGACACTTAACTGATTGAGCCACCCAGGCGTCCCAACAACAGTAATATTTTAAACAATTTGCCAGAAGTAACTATGTTAAAAACATTTTACTTAAAATATCTATCAAGAAAAAATCAAAAGCAGAGCACGCAGAATTCTGGTAATGGCTCTATCATCTAGCAGTTGATGTGGGATGTTCAAAGAAAGTAAACATCACTACATCTAGGAATAGTCTATTCTAAAGTTAACTTCTTTTATCAAGACATTTTTAAGTCTTCTTTAGAACAAGATAAAGAATATTAAAAAAATCAGTAGGCAAATATGTAAGTAAACTTATTAGTAAGAGGAAGGAGGAGTATAACCATTTACTTCTAAAGGAAAGTAAATATCAGAATTTGGGACCTGGAAAGCATAATATATATCCTCTCATTGTTGTAATGAGAAACCACCATAGATACAATACCCACTCAGTATGAAGTTCCAAGTGGATTCCAAGTGGAATTCAGTGTATCAATGTAATGTTTTCATTTCGTATAGGAGTATATAACTAAAAGTTAATAAATTAATAAATCACTTACCCATTGACTTCAGACTTGTGTCCATTTAGTTGAGGCTGAAGGACTATCATTTTTTACTTTTAAAACTAGGTCTTGGGGCGCTTCCTCGGTGGCTTAGTCAGTTAAATGTCAGACTTTTGATTTCAACTCAGTTCATGATCTCAGGGTCGTGAGATTGAGCCCTGTGTTGGGCTCCACACTGGGTGTGTGGAGCCTGCTTAAGATTCTCTCTCCCCCTCTCCCTCTGCCCCTTCTCCACCCCTGCATGTGCATGCACTTGCTCACTCGCTCTAAATAAATAAATAAAGCTAGGTCTTGTTCTATCCCTGTATTTTAAAGGGGCTGCTAGCCTTTTCAACCACTAAAATGAAGTTAATAAACTTTGAAACTCTGCTGCCAGATACATTAATTGACCTGTTCGTTCAATCTCTAAGTAATTCATTTGTGCATTCCTTAGTCCCTCTGTCTATCCACCCATCCATTTCTCCAACCATCTAATCACATAGTGTGTATACCATTAGACTTAACATTAGAGTTCCTACACCTGCAATTGGCCATCAGAATTATTTCACTCTCTCCCACCATCTCTTTCCACTTTTCAATGCTCTGGAAGAATCCCAGCAGGGAAAGAAAACTTCCTTTTTTGCTTACATGAATGAGAGGGTACTTGTGGAGCTCTGTGAAGATTGTTAGAATACACAGATGATAATCTCTTCTATCAGACATGTACATCATGGAAAAGTTTAATTACTGACCAAAGTTATTTATTTTACCTGGAATGTAGATGCCACTGAGTCATACACATATGATCTAAAATTGTTTCATAGTATTCCTGCTTAGATTCCATATCAATCCCAACTTTTAACTTCCAGAAAGATGTCAATATTGTATCTAACACTTTTCCTTAAACACTTTTGTCCTCATGTCTTCGCACATGCTGTTCCTCCTGCTTATGGTCCCTCCCCACCACCCTTCCTATTGTCTTACCTTCCTTCATAAGCAAGCTCCTACTCATCTCTCAAATTTTAGAAAAGTTAAAAGCCAACAAAAAAGTTATTAGAGTTAGGTTAAGGCAGGGGAACCATTATGAAATCTCACCTGTATCTTGTGCAAGTACCGTTCTGTCCTGATGGAGCTACTGGTTTAAAAGTGATGCGTGGGGAAACCTGCGCTGACAGCAGAAATCCCAAAGCAAGAACTAGGAGTGCTACAGTGGTACCTAAAAAAATAAAAAAAAAAAAAAAAAATTAAAAAGAAGTTTTACATCAGAGAATAGTTGGCAACATTTTTTCAAAGCAGACTGGGTTTGGCAAGACATACCTCTGAAAAAAATACCTTTACTTTTATTGGATTATTAAAAAAAAAAGTGTTCCTAATATACATACAGATTATCAGAAAAAACTCTCTAGCACATTCACTGTGAAACATGACAAGAGTGAAATTCAAAGCAAATATATTTGCTAGCCAAGCAGAGGACTGGTAATGATTTTAACAAACAAACAAACCAAAACAAAAACAGGGGCGCCTGGGTAGCTCAGTCGGTGAAGCACCTGCCTTCAGCTCAGGTCATGATCCTGGGGTTCTGGGATCAAGTCCCACATTGTGCTCCTTGCTCAGCAGGGAGTCTGCTTCTCCCTCTGCCTGCCGCTCCCCCTGCTTGTGTGCTCTCTCTCTCTCTTTGACAAATAAAAATCTTCAAACAGGGCGCCTGGGTGGGTCAGTTGGTTAAGCAACTGCCTTCGGCTCAGGTCATGATCCTGGAGTCCCGGGATCGAGTCCCACATCGGGCTTCCTGCTCAGCAGGGAGTCTGCTTCTCCCTCTGACCCTCTTCCCTCTTGTGCTCTCTATCTCTCATTCTCTCTCTCAAATAAATAAATAAAATCTTTAAAAAAAAAAATCTTCAAACAAACAAAAAAAACCTTGGATTGCTGACAGTCTCACAATGAACTAATGCAACAAGCGTAAGTGAGTGCCCAAGATATCAAAAGTATGAAAGGCGACAGACTCACACCAAGTGTTGCTCACGTTGCCAAGAAAATTGTTCTAACGGCGTTCATTGTTTAAGGTCCCAAATCAGTACACTAAAAACAAACAAACTGAACATTTCCAAAAGCAGCTGAGAGAACATTTCTTATTAAAGAGGAGTAGCATTCTTTCCTCATGAGTTGAAGGTGCCAGAAAGGATCTAGCACATGTATTCATTTCTTTCCTGCTGGGGTCTGGAAGTAGAATCTTTCAATTATAGAAACAGTGATTATGTATATCACTTAAAAGGCTCACTTTTGAGTCCCGGAGAGACATCCTGACAGTAAAAAAGAAAGTTTTCCAATTTCTGACTATTGTTCCAGCCACTGAAAGGATACACAGTCACAGGAAGAAAGAAGAAAGAAAATATGATTGTAGTAATTTGTACAATTAATTTGAATGGGGCAATGTGTTTAAAATAGGGAATTTAGGGAGGGCATTTCAAAGTTTTTATTGATTAAACTGGGAGGTAAATTTAAGATATGACCAAAAACATTATTAAATGAATGGATAAAAGGAGAACTTTGGGAAGCACTGCGCAAACACAATGGAATTATATAATGGCTGAGGTGTATATGTTTAAGATGCAGGGGATGTGTCTAGTTAAATGCTGGGGTTACATTCCAGTTCTGCCATTTCTTGATTTCTGTGATCTTGGGCAAGGCACAGGACCTTTCCAAACTTCAATTTTGTCTTCCATAAAATGGGGCTTAGTGAAAATACTCACCTTGCAGAACTGCAGCGAATTTTAAATATCCTAATGCATTTCAAGGATTTTGGTAATGCTATAAAAAGCTGAAGGAAGGGGAAGGCCTGAAGGGGAGATGTCTATTTTTGCCAAACTGGATCAAAAAAGCCATGAACCTAAAATCCAGCTTGTTTGCCCCTTGCTGGCTTAAAACTCAAACCAGAACTAGGAATAGTTTGAGGAATTTCTTTTCTGAAAAGACTATCAGAGCCCTGAACTGGGAAACTTAAAAGAAGTCTTTTACAAAGAGAGGAGATATATTAGGTTTATTACGAAAATCATCCCTCTCTCTTCAAACAAAACAAACCTTGAATTTTACCGTAAATTTGCCCATCACAGAACTTGGGTCCTTACCTATTTCCCCAAATTACTTCCATGGCATATTGTTGTGGGGAAGGGAAGATTTTTTTCAATCTGGGAATTGTGATACTTTAAGATATGAAGGAAACATGATACGTTTCTTTCATAATGCTTATTAAATAACCTGTCTTCATGATTATATTTATAAACTCTAAGAGAGTGTGCCCAGCACATACTCACATACATCTGGTTCTAAGGCCTGGCGTACAGTAGGTCCCTAGAAGTACTGGTTGCATTAATGAATGGACCACAGCGCCAAAGATTTTTATAATATTGAATATTTTGGAAAAAAACCCAAAATCTTAAGACTACCCAATTGAGGTCATCGGGTTAGAATGTGATATATACTCTAGCCGAGAGTTCTGCAGTACATACAATGTATCTCTTGCATCCATCTCTAATAATCTCCAACTTACCTGCAAAATATGGTGAACTGACCATTCCGGATGCACAAAATTCCTGAAAAGCTGACGATTCAACCCTTCTTAAGCATAAGTTTTATTTTATTTTAATGCATTTTGGATAACAATCCTTTAAAAGTCAGTATTACACCTTTACATTCTTTACTATATATAGCAGTGTTTCTCAGTCCTGATTTCCTATTGGAAGCAAATGCTTGGGATGTATATAAACCTCTGACTCAGAGTCTCCAGAAAATGGGGATCAGATATCTGAGTTTTAAACAGCTCCCCAGGTTATTGGGCATCCCATATGCCTGGGCATAACTTATTTTATACATACACACAAACACACACACATATATATGACATATATAATTAGTAAAATAAACTCTTTTAAAGATTTATTTATTATTTGAGAGAGAGAGTGCGAGAGCACGTGCATTGGGGTGGGTGAGGACAGAGGAAGAGCTGAGTCTTAAGCAGACTCCTCCCTGAGCACGGACCTGACGTGGGGCTCCATCTCATAACCCCAAGATTACGACCTAAGCCGAAACTAAGAGTTGGATGCTTAACTGACTGTGCCACCCAGGTGCTGCAATAATAACTTGTAAAATAAACTTTTAAGATGATAAACTCCTTAGGGAAAGGCATGGTATCTTAACTGACTTTATTTATGGAATAAATTTTAAAATGATCACCTACCATCTGTCATATACCCATACACCTTTAAAGCTTAAAACTACTTGAATTATTTCTTTTAACAAGTTATAGATGTTTTATCAGCTATTCATTAGTATTCAGATTATTATGGTTACTGCTGGATTGATCATTACTCTAACCCAGAGTTGAGTTCAATATAGGAAGGCCTTGGATCGGGGCATTTAGCCCATTTACATTCAGGGTAACTATTGAAAGATATGAATTTAGTGCCATTGTATTGCCTATAAGGTGACTGTTACTGTATACTGTCTGTGTTCCTTTCTGGTCTATGTTACTTTTAGGCATTCCTATACACCAACAACAAGACAGAAGAAAGAGAAATTAAGAAGTTGATACCATCTAAAATTGCACCCCAAACCATAAGATACCTAGGAATAAATCTAACCAAAGAGGCAAAGAATCTGTACTCAGAAAACCATAAAATACTCATGAAAGAAATTGAGGAAGACACAAAGAAATAGAAAAACGTTCCATGCTTATGGATAGGAAGGACAAATATTGTGAAGATGTCAATGCTACCTAGAGCAATCTACACATTCAATGCAATCCCCATCAAAATACCATCCACTTTTTTCAAAGAAATGGAACAAAGAATCCTAAAATTTGTATGGAACCAGAAAAGACCCCAAAAAGCCAGAGGAATGTTGAAAAAGAAAAGCAAAGCTGGCGGCATCACGATTCCGGACTTCCAGCTCTATTACAAAGCTGTCATCATCAAGACAGTATGGTACTGGCAAAAAAACAGACATGCAGATCAATGGAACAGAATAGAGAGCCCAGAAATGGACCCTCTACTCTATGGTCAACTAATCTTTGACAAAGCAGGAAAGAATGCCCAAGGGAAAAAAGACAGTCTCTTCAACAAATGGTGCTGGGAAAACTGGACAGCCACATGCAGAAGAATGAAACTGGACCATTTCCTTACACCACACACAAAAATAGACTCCAAATGGCTGAAAGACCTAAACGTGAGAAAGGAGTCCATCAGAATCCTAAAGGAGAACACAGGCAGCAACCTCTTCGACCTCAGCCGCAGCAACTTCTTCCCAGAAACATCGCCAAAGGCAAGGGAAGCAAGGGCAAAAATGAACTATTGGGACTTCATCAAGATAAAAAGCTTTTGCACAGCAAGAGAAACAGTCAACAAAACCAAGAGACAACCGACAGAATGGGAGAAGATATTTGCAAATGACATTTCAGATAAAGGGCTAGTATCCAAAATCTATAAAGAACTTATCAAACTCAACACCCAAAGAACAAATGATCCAATCAAGAAATGGGCAGAAGACATGAACATATATTTTTCCAATGAAGACATCCAAATGGCCAACAGACACATGAAAAAGTGCTCAACATCGCTCGGCATCAGGGAAATCCAAATCAAAACCTCAATGAGATACCACCTCACACCAGTCAGAATGGCTAAAATTAGCAAGTCAGGAAATGACAGCTGTTGGCGGGGATGAGGAGAAAGGGGAACCCTCCTACACTGTTGGTGGGAATGCAAGCTGGTGCAGCCACTCTGGAAAACAGTATGGAGATTCCTCAAAAAGTTGAAAATAGAGCTGCCCTATGACCCAGCAATTGCACTACTGGGTATTTACCCCAAAGATATAAATGTAGGGATTTGAAGGGGTACATGCACCCCAATGTTTATAGCAGCAATGTCCACAATAGCCAAACTATGGAAAGAGCCAACATGTCCATCAACAGATGAATGGATAAAGAAGAAGGGGTATATATATACAATGGAATATTATGCATCCATGAAAAGGAATGAAATCTTGCCATTTGCAACGACATGGATGGAACTGGAGGGTATTATGCTGAGCGAAATAAGTCAATCAGAGAAAGACATGTATGATATGACCTCACTGATATGAGGAATTCTTAATCTCAGGAAACAAACTGAGGGTTGCTGGAGTGGTGGGGGGTGGAGGGATGGGGTGGCTGGGTGATAGACCCTGGGGAGGGTATGTGCTATGGTGAGCGCTGTGAATTGTGTAAGACTGTTGAATCACAGACCTGTACCTCTGAAACAAATAATACATTATATGTTAAAAAAAAAAAAAAAGATAGCAGGAAGGGAAAAATGAAGGGGGGGAAATCGGAGGGGGAGACGGAACCATGAAAGACTATGGACTCTGAGAAACAAACGGAAGCTTCGAGAGGGGAGGGGGGTGGGGGGATGGGTTAGCCTGGTGATGGGTATTAAAGAGGGCAGGTACTGAATGGAGCACTGGGTGTTATACGCAAACAATGAATCATGGAACACTACATCAAAAATTAATGATGTAATGTATGGTGATTAACATAACATAATAAAAAAAAAGCAAATTTCTTCTACTATATCAACTAAAAAAAAAAAGGAAGGCCTTGGATCTTCCGCAGTGCTCTGTACAGTTTGGGCACATTCTTTACATTTTAAGAGAAGAATCTCTCACAACTAAGTATACTGTGACATTTTGGGATTCTGATATAATTTTCCTAATAAAGATGTTCTTCATAGGAAGTAAAGTGTGTTGGATAAATAACATGCTCAAAAATATCTGATGCAATAAGTTACTATAACTACTTAGTGCAGGGCTGAATTATTAGTAAATACTTAGAAAAAATAGTAATTCTCCTTTCCATGACTCTAATAAAGCATACTTTGTTGTACATAAGTATCACCTGGGGAAGCTGTTTAAAGTTTACATGCTCCAGACCCCATCTTCAGAGATCCTAATTTAGTACATCTAGGGTAAGGTCCATGAATACATATTTCAAAATAAGTGCCCTCTGGTAATTCTGATGGAGACAGCCTATGAGTGATGTTTTCAGAAATATTTTACTACCAAGATATTTGGGGAAAAATGACACAGTGTTCTGGCTTTCTGATTAGTTAAATTAAACCTATGTAGATATAGACCTTATTCTATTAAAAGAATCAAGAGGCTGTCTTTATATGTGTAATATTTATGGGAAAGACCAGTTTTCTAAGCAAGCTTTAAAAATATTAAAAGTCACTGGTGTGCCTGAGTGGCTCAGTTGGTTAACCATCTGACTCTTGACTTTGGCTCAGGTCATGGTCACAGGGTCATGGGATTGAGCCCTGTGTTGGGCTCCCTGCTCAGTTGGGAGTCTGCTTGAGACTCTCTCCCTCTCCCTTTGCCCCTCCTCCAGCTCTCTCTGTTGCTTGCTCTCTCTCAAATAAATAAATTCTTTAAAAAATTATTAAAAGTCAGAACACCACAGAATGTCCTCTATTTAAAATTATTCAGGGACTGTATATTTTATATTTCTTTGTATAAAGAGTTCTTTTGTCCACGTCTAGTTACACATAGTTTATTTGTAGTAACTTTTAAAGAATGAATACCTATTCAAAAATTATTTTGATATGACTTTTCCCAGTAATTTACCCCAGTATCATAAGATAAATCATAATAAAAACATAAAAAGGGGGACAAAACTGGATCAAAGCCTTTTAAGAAATTTTAAACAGAACAGTATTCTAATACTTATAGCACTATCATAATATTGATACCTACACAAAAACAAAAACATTGAAATAAATACCTAACTAACCCAGAATCATTTGGCATCAGAAAGTGAAATGAGTATCTCCCGGAAGGGTAATACTCATCCACTAGCAAGGCTGCTGAATAGCACGTTTTCTACCAAATGTGTAAGCTTCCATTGGTCATTATGGTAAACTGGGACCCTATTAAGTCAGTTAAAAACCAGAACTGCATCTATATGTACACGTAAAAGAGGAGACCTGTGACAAGAAAGTAGGCCTTTTCCCTCCTAAACCACCGTAATATCTACATCATCACTTTAATTGGCCACATAACAAGGAACTCAGGTGTCTACATGATGGAAGATGTCTTTCATGCTAGAGCAATGACTGCATGGTTTAAGCAGTGTGCACAGCTGGGGTGTTCGTGGTTTTGGCTGAAAAGAAAACGAGGCAGGAAAGAAAAGTTCCGCCGGGTTGCTCATAAAAAGCAGTCCCTGAAATCTCTGGGTACTGTCTTCCCAGATAATTGTCTTAATCCTTTCTCTTTAACAGCCAGGGATGGGCTCTGGAAATCCTGGGAGCAGAGCACCTACACTGAGAGGTTGAAACATGACATCGGCTAGAAGAGTTCAGGAAAATTCCTGGATTCTGGTGATGCAAGGTGATTTCACATTATGGTTAAAACAACAAAGAACCACTCTGTCAGTAATAATGCTGTGGTAGCTAAGATGCGCTAGGCACCGTATTATCTGCGTCAGGAAGAGTTTTAAATGCTTTATGTGTATAAATGTGTTCAGTCCTCTTCATAACCCTATGAAGTAGGGACTAGAATGAACTGCTTTTTACTAATGAGAAAATGGAAACTTGCCTAAAGTCAGAAAATTCAAACCCAAGCAGTATGGTTCTAGATCTGCAATGCCTTAAAAACCTTCAGAACTGATGAGAAAGTGTCTCTTGGAAAACAACAAATAAAGGGACTAAACTACCAGAAAAAAATGTTTTCCTCAGATTCCAAAAGCCAAATCCCAAATTTAAGAAGATCTGAAATTCTATTTAAAAAATAGACCTCTTAAGGTAGCAATATACAGAGGCCCTGTTCAAAAGGCAGGGTAGGTATCCATTTAAAAATGTTTAAAGCAGCTATTACCTCTTCTTAGGGTTGACCTGCACCTCAGGAATCAGCAAACCCAATTTCTAGCCAACTGTAGTAATTTATTTTTTGGTACATCCCTACCTGATGGTCATCTACCCTTTTGCTGAGAGTTTACCACCCTAATAAAGCAGCCCAATTCACTGTTGGATAATTCTGATTATTAAGACTATATTTCCCATATTAAGTAAAAATAATGCCCTCATGACATCTACCATCTGCTAGAATTAGGTTATCTACTGGGTAACCCTTTAGTCTTTTTTTCCAGACAAAACACTTCTGGTTTCTTCAAGTGTATGAATGAATGGTTTTTAGCCTCCTTGTCCCTCCCCTTTCCTCACTTACCCTCCTGCTTCCCTGTGTACCTTGGCTGTTGAAATTACCTTTGCCTCTTAATCAGACAATCTCTGCTCACCTTCCCCTCAGTTCAACTTACATTATCAGATCAAGTCCGTCCACTGCTTAGGCAAGAACAGAGGGTGGAAGCATTCCACTCTTCCTTCTGGAGGAAGCGTTGGGAGAGACTCTGTGTTCCAAATAACTGAGTTTGGAACTCAGAATGTATTTTCTCATTAAAATCTGTGACAAGTGCCGGAAACAGTACTATTAGATCAGTGTCTTAAGGTATAATTCGGTTAAAATAGATTTTAGTTCATGCCAGCCTGGAAACTTTACATTTTAATGGAAAAATGTATTCTTACTCGAATTAAACTTATAAAGGAGCTATTAGAAGACAGCTAATTGATAATTAGGAATCTGTATATATGAAAAAGATAAGAAAATTATATGGTGCAACATGTGAAGACAATGGCAAAGGTGGGTCTCATTCTCTCAAGTGAAACAGAGAAATAAATAATGAAATGTCAGAATTTAAAGACAAAAGATCCTTGAAAGTGAGAAATGTTTTGTCTTATTTAGCTATTATAGAAAACACACTTCACCAACCAGAATTTACCTTAGAATTTGAGCCTGGTTCAAACACAAAAAGAGTCTGTTGCTGCTTTGTGAAGAAATTACAGAGTTCTAATACTCTACTGCTGAAAGAGCTTTGAAAAAAAAAATGCCCCAAATTTACTTCCATATTATACCAAACTTAAAACATGTTGAAAAGTGAGTTTATGAATATCAAATTTTTCAAAGAAGAACAAAAACCAATTATTCTTTTCACTTCTGTACCTTTGAGCAGAACTCAAAAATAACAACAGCAGAATGTTACCCTCGGTAGATTCAAATTGTTCTTACAATTCCAGTTTCTAGTCACATTCTAGTTACATAACATTCAGTTCTTTTTTTAAAAAACTTTTTGTCTAGAAGAACTCTATTATTTGGCTAAGAGAACAATATCATAAGTTGTACTGGTATTGTATTTTGGAAGGTGAACTTGTCATCATTAGAGAAAAGTTTATAATTGACTTCTTCATCCAGTCACCTACCTGCTAAGCTCCCGAAGGTAAGCTTCCTGCGGCCCACTTTCTCGACAAGCCAGACTCCCACAAGCGTGAAGATGAAATTTGTGAAGGCTGTCACTGAAGCCAGCCATATTGCAAGCCTATCATCTTCAACACCAGACATCTGCAGAATGGTTGCACTGTAGTACCTGTGAGCAAAGAATTAAACAATTGTTGCTGATAGTTATTCAAAGAAACAGAATTGTTCCTGCAGCTACAGTAATGGCATCAAGTTAGCATGGGAATTCATGCAAAGTATTCAGAGGATCACAACACAGAGACTCTGTTCAGATAAATTTTGAACTTTGTATAATCAAGAAAAGATACTCAAGCAAGTGGATAGAGGGTTGAAGGCTTTAAAATGAAAGGTAGGGGCGCCTGGGTGGCTCAGTTGGTTGAGTGACTGCCTTCGGCTCAGGTCATGATCTCAGGGTCCTGGGATCGAGCCCCGCATCGGGCTCCCTGCTCCGCGGGAAGCCTGCTTCTCCCTCTCCCACACCCCTGCTTGTGTCCCCTCTCTCGCTGTCTCTCTGTCAAATAAATAAATAAAAGCTTAAAAAAAAAAAAAGTGAAAGGTACTCCGCAGCTAGGGACAGGGCAGCTAGTTGTTTCACTAAGACCTACTACACTAATCAAGGATAAGCTCCAAGTCCATGGAACGAATCAGAAGTCATTGTACATTGTAAATTTATGTACTTAAAAGAATAAATAGAAGTTGCACACAATAAGGAAAGTGTGATATAATGGTAGATATCGGGTAGAAGGAACCTCTTTAAAGAGCAGTAAGAATGTGTCCATTTATTTGGCATTTTGTGAGGCGATGAGAAACTGACCTGATGTGCATGAGAATGGTTTTGTGTTTTCTAGAAAAGTATAATCTTTGGAGAGGTAACTCTCTACCACGATCTACATGATAAGGCTCTATAGACTCATTTTTGTTCTAAATGAATTCCCTGGAGACTAGCTCTAAAAAACCAAAATGCCAATTTGTTGATGCATAATAGGAGATATCTCTGATACATTTAAAGAAGATAGGTTTCTTACAGGACATTTCTTTTCTGATGAAAATATCAGTAGCTAAATCAAAAGATTACTTTAAAGCTGTCCTTAAAACAAAGGAAGCAAAATACTCCTGGTGAGTCACCTAAGAAATGTGACAGAATTCAAATCCTGAAGACACATTCTGAACCATGGCTTCGCCTAGCCTCTGAGCCATTCTAAAACATGTTAGCTTATCCAAATCAGGGACTGGGCATCCAAGCAATGTTCAGTCAAGCTGGATATGTCTATAGCTACAATCCACAGTTTCCAAATATTCATCAACATTTTCATAGTATTTCAAAAATAAAAAACTCTTTTAAATACATTTATGTTTCAATGATTTATCAATGGCCTACATGTACTAAATTAATGATGATCTTCTAACATAAAACAGTAACACCAACGCACTCATTCATCTTAATAAAAAGTGTTTTCCTTTTTAAAAGTAGTAAACCAGGGCACCTGGGTGGCTCAGTG